GTGGCACACGACAACTTCCTGTAATAGATGTTTGAAAGCGCACCGGTCTGGATAAAAGTCTATAAAAAATGCGTGCACCAAGTATAACGGAACAAGAACGTCCTTCTAATTAATCTAAGGCGTTTAATATGAAAATTAATTTTTTTTTACTCTTTACACTCAACATTTTAATATTTTTTTTTTTAAATTAAGGCTTTTGATCGCCCCATCTACTAACAGACAAACAAAACTATTCACATTGATCTTTACATAGTAGATTAACTGTATCGTTTTAACTATAACAAACTATGTGCAATTTAAAGAAGATCGAATGGAAGGCTCTGCCACAAGCGCTATTTGTATGCTGTGTAATAGCAAATGTTCCTGAAAGTGCAGGCACACCTTTACTTGAAACCAGAGCTCAACTTTTTACATTTGAATATCCCAGGTTCAATCCAACAATTCTGTGTTTTCTTGTTTATTTTAAGTTGAGAAGCGTTGCGAAATTATAGCCCCCTGGAGGTTTTTTCGCGGGAGCGGGGGGGAAATGGGAAATTCTAGAAAGCGAGCCGACCGGAAATGAAACTAAATTATGGTGCATCGCTGTCAACAACAACAAAATGGGCATTCTCTTCCTTGTAACGTCTGTGTGCCTTTAAAATGTATTCTAATCAACAAGACTTCTGAGCTAGTGATGCAACAAGACGTCTGAGCTAGTGATGCAACAAGACGTCTGAGCTAGTGATGCAACAAGACTTCTGAGCTAGTGATGTGTCTCTTATAGGGCAATTTTTTTTTAATTTATATTTTAAAAATTCTATTGAACAATACTTTTTAGGGTAGTGTAAGTATACTTTAATTTTAATGATTAATGCATTCATTAATATAGCTCCCGTCCAGTGATTATTTCAGAAAATTTCCCCCGGAGGGCACTTCAGATTTTTCGGGTGGCAGGGGGGGCAGTGCCAGCAGTGCCAGTTGATTTATTGTTGGACATATTTTTGCTCGGGGGGGGGGCACTGGGCTTTCCCGGGCGAGGCAGGACTTTTCCCACTGAGGCAGTCCCCCCCCCTTCCCCCGGAGCTATAGCAGAAGAAGAAGAGTTTTACTACTTTCATCAGAATTATATCCATTGTGTTTATTTCCTTAGGCTGTTTGGAAACACTGACGTCTTTCTATGATCATTGATTTGATAGCACATCAACGGTTCCACTTGGCATTATGGCGGCACTGAAGAGATTATTGCATCCTCTTCTTGGACCATTTAGAGCCAATACGTTGGTGTTGAGCTGTGCATCGCAGAAACAACAAGGTGAGTACACGAGCACGTAGTGGCTTGTGAGTACACGAGCACGTAGTGGCTTGTGAGTACACGAGCACGTAATGGCTTTTGGGTCCACCAGCATGTAGTGGCTTTTGGGTACACCAGCATGCAGTGGCTTGTGAGTACAACAGCATGTAGTGGTTGTTTTGAGTTGTAAATCGCAAAAACTTCAAAGTGAGTACACCAGCATGTAGTGGCTTTTGGGTACACCACCATGTAGTGGCTTTTGGGTACATCAGCATGCAGTGGCTTGTGAGTACACCAGCATGTAGTGGTTGTTTTGAGTTGTAAATCGCAAAAGCTTCAAAGTGAGTACACCAGCATGTAGTGGCTTTTGGGTACACCAGCATGTATCCCCATACCCTCCATACTATCCATACCCTGCATACCCTGCATACCCTTCATTCGCTCCATACCCTCCAACCCTTCCATACCCTCCAACCCTTCCATACCCTCCAACCCTTCCATACCCTCCAACCCTTCCATAACCTCCAACCCTTCCATAACCTCCAACCCTTCCCTACCCTCCAACCCTTTCATTACCCTCCAACCCTTCCATACCCTCCAACCCTTCCATACCCTGCAACCCTTCCATACCCTCCAACCCTTCCTAATCCTAAAAATACATCGTTCCATCCCATTCAATCCTAAAAATACATCTCTCCATACCCTCCAACCCTTCCATAACCTCCAACCCCTCCATAACCTCCAACCCTTCCATACCCTCCAACCCTTTCATTACCCTCCAACCCTTCCATACCCTCCAACCCTTCCATACCCTGCAACCCTTCCATACCCTCCAACCCTTCCATACCCTCCAACCCTTCCATACCCTCCAACCCTTCCGTACCCTCCAACCCAACCATACCCTCCAAACCTTCCATACCCTCCAAACCTTCCATAACCTCCAACCCTTCCATACCCTCAAACCCTTCCATAACCTCCAACCCTTCGATACCCTCCAACCCTTCCATAACCTCCAACCCTTCCAAACCCTCCAACCCTTCCATACCCTTCAGCCCGTCCATACCGAAAATAGGCCGAAATTTTAAAATGACGTTCGGCCAAAACCGAAAAAAGGCCGAAATTTTAGAAATGATTTTCTGCCGAAACCGAAAAAAGGCCGAAAGTTAAAAATGAATTTCGGCTGAAACCGAAGCCGAAACCGAAAATGAAATGTTAAATATTTTGAAATTCGTTCCCGCATACATTCTGCATACATCGAAAATGATGTAGGAAAGTACAAATATTTACATTCTTTTTATATAAAATGATTTAATCATGAATATTACTAAATAAACATCTAATATAGGGGTCTCAAACTCGCGGCCCGCGACCCATTTGTGACCCGCAAGACGATATTTTGCGGCCCGCTACATGACAGAAAAGTTTAGTGTAAATGCGCCGGCCCGTTTCCCCCATTCTCAGATCTATAACGTGACTCTCCGCGACGGTTTAAGTCGAATCTCACCGACTAGTCTAATTCTGATTTCTTTTTTTTTTTTTATGTTCTATATATTTTTGTATGCAACACTTAGTAGGTGGATGAAAGTGAATCCTAGTTCTTGAGAACCCTTAATGATTGTATTGTTATTTATAAAGGTTGAGCAGATTGTAACAGTTGTAATCGCTTTTTTGTGGTTTACTTGATGCGGCCCACTCCCATTCAGACACTACCCCATGCAGCCCCCCTGATGATTTGAGTTTGAGACTCTTTATCTAATGAATACTTTGGATTTTACCATTTTAATAAAAAAGTAATTTAAATTGCTTTACAATTTTTTTAAATTAGTATGGTAGGAGAAAATTTGGCAAAAATGGGGGGGGGGGGTGAATTTATGCAAATTAATGCAAAATATAATTTTTTTAAACCGGGTCTCTAAAAATTGTTGTTCTGATCATGGTTCTAAAAGATCGCTTAATTTGTTATGAAAGGTGGTTTAGTTTGTTATTAAAGATCGTGTAGTTGGTTGTTATTGATCGGTTAGGCTGTTCTTAAAGATCGGTGAGTTAGTTCATAAAGATCGCTTAGTTTGTTCTAAAATATCGCTTAGTTTAATCTTAAAGATCGCTTAATTTGTTCTTAAAGATCGCTTTTAGTTTGTTGTTAAAGATCATTTAGTTTGTTCTTAAAGATCGCTTAGTTTGTTGGTAAAGATCGTCCAGTTTTTTGTTAATGATCGCTTTACTTTTTCTTAAAGATCGATTAGTTTGTTCAAGATCGCCTGGTTTGTTGTTAAAGATCGTTTAGTTTGTTTCTTAAAGATAATTGATTTTTTTCCTTAAGATCGATTAGTTAGTTCATAAAGATCTTTTAGTTTATTCCTAAAGAAAATTTAGTTTTCTGTTAAAGATCGCTTAGTTTATTCTTATAAATGCTTTAGTTTACTATTGAAGATCATTTGTTTTGTTCTTAAAGATCATTTAGTTCGGTCTTAAAAATCGTTTAGTTTGTTCTTTAAGATCGTTTAGTTTGTTATGAAAGATCGCTTAGATTGTTCTTAATGATCCCTTACTTTGTTTTAAAGATCGTTTAGTTTGTTCTTAAATGTCGATTAGTTTGTTGTTAAATATCGTTTAGTTTGATCTCAAAGATCGCTTAATTTGCTCTTAAATGTCGCGTAGTTTGTTGTTAAATATCGCTTTCGCTGAGTATTAGATGACCGAAAACCTGAGTCAATTTCGGCCGAAACCTAAGAAAAACCGAAATTTAACTTTTCTCTTCGGCCGAAACCGAAATTAAGCCGAAAGTTAACTTTTCAGTTTCGGCCGAAACCGAAACTTGGCCGAAAGTGATAAAATGGCCACTTTCGGTGCCAAAACCGAAGCCGAAATTTGGTCGGACTCTACCTCCAACCCTTCCATACCCTGCTAACTGTACATACCTGGCATACACTCCATATGCCTCATACGCTCCAAAACCTCCATACCCACCATATCCTGAATACCCTCCAATCCCTACATACCCTCCATACCCACTATACCCTCCAAACCCTTCGAACCCTCCAAACCCGCCATACCCTTAATACCTTTCATAACCTTCATACCCGCCATACCCTCCATACGCCCCATAACCTTCGTACCTAATACGCTCCATACCCCCATGCCCTTTATTCTCCCCATACCTTCTATACCCTCCAGACCTTCCATACCTTCTATACCCTCCAGACCTTCCAGACCTTCTATACCCTCCAGACCTTCCAAACCTTCTATACCCTCCAGACCTTCCATACCTTCTATACCCTCCATGCCCTTTATTCTCCCCATACCTTCTATACCCTCCAGACCTTCCATACCTTCTATACCCTCCAGACCTTCCATACCTTCTATACCCTCCAGACCTTCCAGACCTTCTATACCCTCCAGACCTTCCATACCTTCTATACCTTCCAGACCCTCCATATGCTCTAATGCCATCAATGTCTTTGATTCATTTATTGCCGGATAATCATCAGACGAGTGAATCTGGACGCTGCGAAAAGGGAAAAAAAGGGGGGGGGGAATAAATAAATGCATTATTAATTTTAATCCTAAGTGTAGATAATCTCCTGGATCGACAGCCCCCCCCCACACCCTCTTTTTTTTTTTGGTGGATCTTCTACCACCAATCCCTCGATGTAAAGAAGGATGACTTACAAAAGTTGGTAGAAAAAGTTGATAGAGTTGGTTGTTTCTCTAATCCACCACTCCACTCCCCAGCATCGAACCTCTCGGCCCGGCATGACGGCGCAAAGTCTAAGCTGAAGAACCTGGTCCTGAGGCGAGCCAGGGCCGACGACATGAAGTTTCTGTTGGAGCTCGGGGAAGTGTACAAGGGTCGGGACCACTTCAACCTGCAGCTGCACGGTCACCTCAACAACTGGATGTGCTACCCTGTGGTGGCAGAAATCGACGGGTTGGTGGTGAGTACAGCAACGGGTTGGTGGTGAGTACAGCAACGGGTTGGTGACGAGTACAGCCATCGCACGTCCATGCAACCCTTGAGGCTGCAGGGTGGGGGGGCTCGGGTATTTACGAGGCACAACATTTTCATGTGAGCTTTTCATTAAACAACTGACTTTGATTATAGTGGGTAAGAAATCAAAATGTACCAGGGGGCCTCCACAAGTTAGGCGACGGCTTTGGTGGTGAGTCATGGCTTGTGGCTTTCAGCGAGTCAAGTGTGAGGTGAGTCATGGCCTGTGGGCTTTCCGTGAGTCAAGTGTGTGTGGTGAGTCATGGCTTGTGGGCTTTCAGTGAGTCAAGTGTGTGTGGTGAGTCATGGCCTGTCGGCTATAAGTGAGTCAAGTGGGTGTGGTGAGGCATGTCTTATGGCTTTCAGTGATTCATGTGTGTGTGGTGAGTGTGTGTGTGGTGAGTCATGGCCTGTGGGCTTTCCGTGAGTCAGGTGTGTGTGGTGAGTCATGGCTTGTGGGCTTTCAGTGAGTCAAGTGTGTGTGGTGAGTCATGGCCTGTCGGCTATAAGTGAGTCAAGTGTGTGTGGTGAGTCATGTCTTGTGGCTTTCAGTGATTAATGTGTGTGTGGTGAGTCATGGATTGTGGGCTTTCAGTGAGTCAAGTGTGTGTGGTGAGTCATGGCTTGTGGCTTTCAGTGAGTCAAGTGTGTGTGGTGAGTCATGGCGTGTGGCTTTCAGTGAGTCAAGTGTGTGTGGTGAGTCATGGACTATCGGCTATCAGGCTGTTGAAGAGGGTGGTGTTGGTGTTGAGTCTTGTCTTTTGAACTGCCTTAACTTGCAAGTGGAGGCTGCGTGAATTGTCTTGCGGTCCATCTCCACTAATACCATTTGTCAGTTAACAGCTTTATGCACCCCCCCCCCCTTTCTGACCGATAAACGATAGTGCTGGGTGCCAGTTCTGAAGGTGACAGTTCTGTTTGTTGGCGGGGCGAATATTTTTTTGTATAAAATTGTTTTTTTTTAATTAAATGAGTGAATACCTTTTTTAATGTCATACTTATTTTTGCTAATACAACGCATTGGTCCTCTCTTGCGCAGTACCCCAGACTAGAGTTGGGCTCACCGTGCTAAATGAGACCAATGGGCTCACCGCGCTAAATGAGACCAATGGGCTCACCGCGCTAAATGAGACCAATGGGCTCACCGCGCTAAATGAGACCAATGGGCTCACCGCGCTAAATGAGACCAATGGGCTCACCGCGCTAAATGAGACCAATGGGCTCACCGCGCTAAATGAGACCAATGGGCTCACCGTGCTAAATGAGACCAATGGGCTCACCGCGCTAAATGAGACCAATGGGCTCACCGCGCTAAATGAGACCAATGGGCTCACCGTGCTAAATGAGAACAATGGGCTCACCGCGCTAAATGAGACCAATGGGCTCACCGTGCTAAATGAGAACAATGGGCTCACCGCGCTAAATGAGACCAATGGGCTCACCGCGCTAAATGAGAACAATGGGCTCACCGCGCTAAATGAGAACAATGGGCTCACCGCGCTAAATGAGACCAATGGGCTCACCGCGCTAAATGAGAACAATGGGCTCACCGCGCTAAATGAGAACAATGGGCTCACCGCGCTAAATGAGAACAATGGGCTCACCGCGCTAAATGAGAACAATGGGCTCACCGCGATAAATGAGAACAATGGGCTCACAGCGCTAAATGAGAACAATGGGCTCACCGCGATAAATGAGAACAATGGGCTCACCGCGATAAATGAGACCAATGGGCTCATCGCGCTAAATGAGAACAATAGGCTCACCGTGCTAAATGAGACCAATGGGCTCACCGTGCTAAATGAGACCAATGGGCTCACCGTGCTAAATGAGACCAATAGGCTCACCGTGCTAAATGAGACCAATGGGCTCACCGTGCTAAATGAGACCAATGGGCTCACCGCGTTAAATGAGACATCTGTCATAATAATAGTAATAATAATAATAACTTCCATCCAATATTTCATGCATTGTTCATCAGCCCCCCTCCCCCCCCCCAAACACACACCACTTTGACTATAAAACCTCATAAATAACATACCTACCACTGAATCCATCTTTCTCCTCCCCCCTACCCTCAAAAAGGTTGGATTCGAGGTGAGTGAAATCATCGACGGAGGAAGAGGAGTGATGAAGCGGTCGGCGAGGGTGGCCCCGTCCCACCGCAAAATGGGGCTGCTGCACATCATGGACTTTCACCTGGACGACTGGGCGCGCGCCACTCTGCCTGGCCTGAAGCACGAGCTCATGAGCGTCGTGGACAAGACGTATGAGAAGGTGGCCAAGGAGTTCACTCACCTGGGATACTCCTTGGCGTGGCGGCAGGTACATCTGATTGCACGTTTTAAGGGTGTGTGGGGTTGGGGGGGGGGGGCGCTTATATTTCTTTTTGGGACAGTAGCAGTACTTCAAATAATGGCTTAAAAAACTCAAATGAATTGATGACAACTCTCAGTTGAATCAAAATATAAGACATTGTAGATGAGGATAAATTATGTACTTAACTGTGTTGGTAGTGTCTGTAGATGTATTGGTAGTGTTTGTAGATGTGTTGGTAGTGTCTGTAGATGTGTTGGTAGTGTCTCTAGATGTATTGGTAGTGTTTGTAGATGTGTCGGTAGTGTTTGTAGATGTGTTGGTAGTGTTTGTAACTATGTTGGTAGTGTCTATAATTATGTTTGGTAGTGTTTGTAATTTTGTTGGTAGTGCCTGTGAATGTTGGTAGTGTCTGCAATTGTGTTGGCAGTATCTGTAATTGTGTAGTTAGTGTCTGTAATTGTGTTGGTAGTTTCTGTAATTTTGTTGGTAGTGTCTGTAATTTGATTGGCAGTGTCTATAATTATGCTTGTAGTGTCTGTAATTATGTTGCAAAATTACAGATAGTGCCTACTTAACTCATTCATCACAAGACCTACTTGACTCATTCATCACAAGACCTACTTGACTCATTCATCACAAGACCTACTTGACTCATTCATCACAAGACCTACTTGACTCATTCATCACAAGACCTACTTGACTCATTCATCACAAGACCTACTTGACTCATTCATCACAAGACCTACTTGACTCATTCATCACAAGACCTACTTGACTCATTCATCACAAGACCTACTTGACTCATTCATCACAAGACCTACTTGACTCATTCATCACAAGACCTACTTGACTCTTCTACTTCTTTATTTTAAAGAGGGCCCACGATCAATGAATTGATCATTCTGGCTCCTATGTTTCAGAGGGGTTGGCGATGTTACTGTCCATGGGTTTCAATGGGATGCTTCACTGGTGGCAAGGGCGACTCAGCAGTGGTGTTATGAACTGGGGGTTGGAATACAGGAGGCAATAGACACAAATGCGTCGAGTGTAGCCGCCTCAACTGTTGCTTTTGGAAGCTTGTTCCAGTCCCCTATTGTCTTCGGCAGGAATGAGGAGCTCCTGTACTTTGTTCTTGTTTTTACCAGCCGGAACTGTCTGTCGTGGCTTCGTCGCAGTCTAGAGGGAAGATGAACGAGTTTCTGTTTGATTCCGGAGCAGTGGACCAGCCCATTTTTGATCTTGTACAACATGGTGAGCCTGGATAGTCGTCGTCGTTCTTCCAATGTTGACCAGCCCAGTGTTTCCAGCATGCTGCCAACACTTTAGGTGTTTCTGTAGCGGTTCATGACAAAGCGTGCTGCCCGTCGCTGGACCGCCTCCAACCTGTCGATGCTTTTCTGGGTAAATGGGTCCCAGACTGTAGAAGCGTACTCTAAAATAGGCTGGACAAAGGCTTTATAGGCATTTTCTTTCCCGCTTGAGTTTCCGATCTTCAGATTGCGCCTTAGGAACCCCAGGGTCTTGTTTGCCCGGTTGCACACACTGTTAATGTGCTCGACTCCTTCATCACAAGACCTAGTTAACTTACTTATCAAATAACCTACTTTACTCATTCATCAGAAGACCTACTTGACTCATTCATCAAATGACCATCTTGACTTATTTATCACAAGATCTACTTTAATTATTCGTCACATGACCTAATATGTTCATTCATCACAAGACCTTGTTTACTCAATCATCAAAAGTCCCATTTTACTCATTCATCACAAGACCTACAAGACTCATTCATCAGAAGACCTACTAGACTCATTCATCACAAGACCTACAAGACTCATTCATCACAAGACCTACTAGACTCATTCATCACAAGACCTACTAGACTCATTCATCACAAGACCTACTAGACTCATTCATCACAAGACGTACTAGACTCATTCATCACAAGACCTGCTAGACTCAATTATCACAAGACCTACTAGACTCATTGTTCACAAGACCTACTAGATTCATTCATCACAAAACCTACTAGACTCATTCATCATAAGACCTACTAGACTCATTCATCACAAGACCTACTAGACTCATTCATCACAAGACCTACTAGGCTCATTCATCACAAGACCTTCTTGACTCATTCATCAAAAGACCTTCTAGGCTCATTCATCACAAGACCTACTAGACTCATTCATCACAAGACCTACTTGACTCATTCATCAAAAGACCTTCTTGACATTTTATCACAAGACCCGCTTTGCGCATTCATCACCTGACCTAATTTGTTCGTTCATCACAAGACCTTACTTGCTCATTTATCCCATGACTTACTTTGCACCTTTATCCCATGACCTAATTTACTCTATTAGCACAAGACCTAATTTACCCATGTCTCACACGGCCTTCCTGGCTCATTCATCACAATAACTTCTTGACTAATTCATCACAAAACATACTTTGCTCATTCTTCACCAGACCTATTTTTCTCTTTCATATTAAGATTTTTAAAAAGTATGAAACTGTATGACTGACACTTATATCGGTTCTCATCCAAAGTAAAAAAAAAAAAAAAAAAAGTTTACAGTGGTTCTATAATTGTTCAGGACGTCACCAGACCTATTTTTCTCTTTCATATTAAGAATTTTAAAAAGTATGAAACTGTAAGACTGACACTTATATCGGTTCTCATCCAAAGTAAAAAAAAAAAAAAAAAGTTTACAGTGGTTCTATAATTGTTCAGGACGTGCGGGTTTTGCTGTTCGACACTAAGGACTTCAAAGGCGTCGACGAGAAACAGGAAACGCCCTACACCGTCTCACCTTTGACCCACGAGGACTTGCGGCACCTTTTCCAGTGCAGCGCTGTGGTGGACAAGCTGTTCCCCAATAAACTGCTGCTGCTCTACGGGGTGGGCTGCGGGGCGCTGGCCGAGAACATCTTCTACATGAAGACCCCCGGGCGGGACGTCTTCGGCTCCTCGGCCACGCCCGCGATGTCAGAGACCCCGACCAACTACTGGTACCAGCGGAACTTCACCGACGACATGATCACGACCGCGGACATGCTGACCTTCGCGTACAACTACACCGGCGACCTCGGCTTGATCTACATCATCGACATCTACGCCGCGGAGGGCTGCCCGGAGAGGGCGCTACGCGAGCACATCAGGTACCACCTGAGGACGATCTGCCGCCTGAACCGGGGCGGCGGCCTGTTCGGCCTGGGGGTCAACCAGCACGTGACCGTCGAGCATGTGTTGGCGATTCTCAAAGAGCACGGCATCGAGACGCCGTTGCCGAACTCTGAGATCGCTAATGTTCTTGTCAAGCGGGATGTGGGATCCGCTTGAAGGAAGAAAACAATTTTACAGACTACGCTTAACTTTAAAAACCCTTGGGGGTTCTCAGACTACAGCCAGGGTTTCAATGTATCCTAATATGTGTTTAAGGACTGGGATTGTAGTTTGAAAAGACGATTCATTTCCCAAAATTCACATCGATTGTTGTCAAAAACGAATTTAACATTGCGGGGTCTTTGTGAAAACATCAACTAATATATATATATATGACTTAATGTGTTCAATATTACTGTAGGCACGCTGATTGAGCTTAAAAAATCAGAATTTCGTTTTTATTTGTTTTAATAATGCGTCACGAGTTCTTTTTTTTTTTTTTTTTTAGTTCTCTGAATTTTAAACTTAACAAAAAATATTTTTGCAATTTTTTATTTTGGATTAAACGTAATTATGTATTTCGTTTTTATTTGTTTTAATAATGCGACACGAGTTCTTTTTTTTTTTTTTTCAGTTCTCTGAATTTTAAACTGAACAAGAAATATTTTTGCAATTTTATATTTTGGATCACACGTAATTATGAGTTTATATTTTCTCGTGAAAAATAATAGCATATCAATATATAATTTTAAACAATGATGAAGTAACTGTTTTTATGTATTGTTTTTAGTTTATAGATTAAACATTTCCAGACACTAGAAATACTTTGTGGCGTACTTTCATTGGGTTTTAGGTTGTTCTTTTCGAAATTTTACAAACTTTTCATGATTTTAATTTGGCCTGTTTGTGTATTGTGAGAAACTTTACTGTTCTAGGCTCTTCCTTTCTCTATCTCTTTTGCTTGCTTCCAACTGTCACCCATAGTGGAACAATCAGGTAACAGACAGCTCATGGGTGGTTACCGCATTTGATCTCCATTTATCTGCTAGGTTTGATTCACTTTCACTCGCTCGGTACACAGCTCTGACTGTTACGGCTCGTCTGGTACTCAGCCCTGACCGTCACGGCTTGTCCGATAATAAACCCTGACTGTCAAAGCTAGTCTGGTACTCAGCCCTGACTGTCACAGCTTGTCTTGTACTCAGCTCTGACTGTCACGGCTCGTCTGGTACTTACACTCCAACGGTACTCCCACAGCACTCTTGACTGTGTTCTCCCCAACTGTCCTCTACTCCTGTCCAGCTGAGTTCTGCATAGTCCCCACTAATGGTCCCCTTTAATGAGTCCCCGATTAGTCGTGGTACCTCTAGAGATTCCTTCTCAGGACTATCTCTACATCTCTACTACGAACTTGATACACCCAGGTCCTATAATTCACTTATCGCTTTCCTCCAATGCCTTGATTCATAACTACTGTCACCGTCATGATCATGCTAGCCTCGTTCTGGGGCAATCTGACAAGCTACGACAGGCGGGATGCCCCATCCTCTAGACCAGGGGTCTCCAAACTTTTCAGCCCGAGGGCCGTATTAACTGTCAAACACTAGTTCGGGGGCCGAATACACACTCGAGGTCCAAATAAAAAAGAATTTAAAAAATGGATGTTGTTTTTACTTATTTATTTAATATTTTTATCAGTTATCATTTATTAACCATTTGATATACTACACATGAAAACCTGTATTAGTGGGAATGGTGAAATTGTTTCCTGGATTCCAAAATAGCAGACATATCTGGCTTTCGATTTGATGTTCCTAACATCAATAGAGACCTGAGATTAACATCGGACAAGTTTGTTTTTTTTTTTAAATTGTTCTTCGCGTATTTCATTCTTGCAAATGTTTATTCATACAGGTATGTTGTTCAAAAGATTGCAAAAGTTTTGACATCAGGAAAGTCCTTAAAGTTTTCCTTTGGCAAAAACTGGTAAAACGCCCCCAATCCGTCTGTTGAACTTGTCCCTAAAGAGGGCATGTGCTTGCAAATCAGTGACTTCCAGATGCAGTTTATCTGGGCAACTCGCCACATCTGCTTCAAATGGGTTTTGAAACAGTCTCACTTCTTCTGCCTTTGAATCCAAACAGAAAACTGCTTCTGAAATTGCAGCTGGAGGTCTTTGATGATCGCACATGCAAATGACGTGTTGCTTCAGCCATGAAGACATTGCACTGCTGAAAGTTCGTCAAGTTGTTGGCCTGTACTTGTTCCAAAAAACAAGACAAGTTTGGATCTGAAGACCTTTAGGTGGGTGTATAGATCAGAAACGAGATTTTCCTCTCCTTGTAGTTTTAGGTCCAGAACATTGAAATGACTAGTTATGTCTGCAGGAAAGGCAAATATCCAATTGCACTCTTCATCAGACAGTAATGGCTGTGGCTTGCCTCTACTTTACAGGAAGTCAACGATTTTCTTCTTTACTCTGTTCAGAACTTTCTCACAGCTTAGCCATCTTATTGCTGTGTAATATGGTAAATCTTGCGATTCTGTGTCTGTATCTTTCAACAAGTCTCTGAACTGTCAATGGTTGAGCCCATGTGACCTTATTGAATTCACAATCTTCACCACAGGATTTAGTACACTGTTAATGCCCACATATTTATCACACAAAACTTCCTGGGCAATAATGAATTGCAGGTGCATTGGTTGTAGAATGTTTTTCTCATGACACATCGGCTTCACTTGTCGAACCAAGCCTTTCTTTATGCAACTCATGTTCTTCCCTTCATCAAAAGTCAGGCAACTAAGGTTAGTCCAGTCCAAGTTATAATCAGGAAATGTTTTTTTTTAACTCATTGAATATATCCTCTCCGTAACAGTGTCGTACATGCTATGTAGGTAAGCCAGCTCTTGTGTTATGTCAATGTCTTCATCCACACCTCTGCTGAACACAAGAAGTTGAGAGGTGGACCAGCTGTCCTGCGATTCATTTATTGCAATTGAAAAATGGTCGAAACTTGCTTGCATTTTTCACTATTTGAATCAAAATGTTTTCACAATATCTGCAATGGTATTTGCACCCAAAGCTAAATTTTAAAATTGCTTTGACTTTTCTGGGCAAAGTTCATCAGCCACCACCAACAAACATTCCTTCACTACTTCCGTGAAAATGGTTTGCCACTTTTAGCCAGGACATTGTAACTGGCCTTAGTTACAATGTTTTCTCACCGGATTTGATGAAGAAATATTTCAAACTCCATTTTTCTTGAAATTGCCGACTCTCATCTTTAATTTTTATTTCCGTCTCCTCGGCGATCGTTGGGCATTAAAAAAAAGGGAATTCAACATGAACAAATAGTGAAACTGAAAGTATCTTGCACAACTTCTTACTTATGCCTTTCTACCCCGTCTGGGGCATAGGTCGTCTACAAGAATTTTCCACTCATCACGGTCCTGTGCTTTCCTTTCCAATTGCTTCCAGGTGTATCCCATATTTTGCGTGTCAGCCTCTAGCTCGCGTCTCCATGTATTCTTAGGCCTTGCTCTCTTTCTTTTTCCCTGTGGGTTTCATGTTAGGCATTGTCTGGTGGTGCTATCTGGGGGTTTTCGGAGCGTATGCCCTATCAACCTCCATCTTTAATTTATGATATCTTTATCAATGGGCAACTGGTATGCCTCTCTAGTAGATCTTTGTTGGTGATATTATTTGGCCAGATATTTCTAAGGCATGTGTTTATGAATGTCTGCACTTTCTGCATAAGGCTCACGGTTGTTTTCCAAGTTTCTGCACCATATTCTAGGACTGTTTTTTTCATTTGTGCTAAAGATTCTGACTTTGGTTTGCAGTTTCAGCTCATTCGACTTCCATATTTTCTTTAATAGCATAAATGCTGATCTAGCTTTTCCAGTTCCGCCATTTGTGTCTATGGTGCTGCCCCTAAGTATGGGAAGGACTCCACTTCTTCCAGTGCCTTTCCTGCCAGATAAATATGCTCTTGGTTGGATGAGTTTACCTTCATGATTTTTGTCTTGCTTTTATTTATATTGAATCCAAGCTGTGCTGAAATGGTGGCTACGTCTTTCGTCTTTTCCTGCATTTGTTGCTGGTTGTGGGACAGAAGTGCAATGTCGTCTGCAAATTCTAAATCATTCAGTTGCTCCCAGAGTGTCCAATGTATCCCATACCTCTTTTCGTCTGTGGATTTTTTCATCATCCAGTCAATGGCAAGGATGAATAGAAATGGGGACAAGAGGCATCCTTGTCTGACTCCCGTTTCGACTGTAAAGGAATCTGTGCGTCTACCTAATCTTGCACAAAGTATCGCAAAAAAAAAAAAAACCAACTGATTATGCAAACTAATTTCGTTGCAATTAAAGCTGCAAAAGACACGAACGTTTTGTTTTCTTAAATTCTTATGATTACTGAAGTTAAACTTACCTGAAGATAGAGTGCAAATACATCCACTTATGGTGGGGATAAGAAGAGTTTAGCCTCTATCCTCATAAAAAACATCAAAGAAATCAAATAATTGAAAAGATGATCGTGATGTCACAGGAATAAAAAACAAAAAGATGTGTCGCGGGTCTATGCCACAGACCTTTTGGCCAGACCAGTGGTTCCCATAATATGGGTCGCTCTGGGTGCCATGTTGCCCTCGTGCAGAGCGATGAGAATGGGGCAAAGAGGGCAGTCACAGTGGGGGGCAAAGAGGGCAGTCACAGCGGGGACCAAAGAGGGCAGTCACAGCGGGGGGCAAAGAGGACAGTCACAGCGGGGGCAAAGAGGGCAGTCACAGCGGGGGCAAAGAGGGCAGTCAAAGGGGGGGGCAAAANAAGAGGGCAGTCACAGCGGGGGCAAAGAGGGCAGTCACAGCGGGGGCAAAGACGGCAGTCACAGCGGGGGGCAAAGAGGGGAGTCACAGCGGGGGGCAAAGAGGGCATTCACAGCGGGGGGCAAAGAGGGCAGTCACAGCGTGGGCAAAGAGGGTAGTCACAGCGGGGGCAAAGAGGGCAGTCGAAGGCGGCGCCAAAATCGTCTTTAGATAGTATCTTAAAATTGAATTAAAATGTCCAATCCCATATACTTCAAAAAGATGAGGGGGGCCAAAACTCGTCTATTTACTGATCCGCCCCAGGGGCACTTTTTTCTCTATATTAATTGGCACCATTTTCCGGCTTCA